GAGAGAGAGAGAGAGAAGAGAAGAAGAGAGTGTGTGTGTGTAGTGTGTGTGTGTGTGTGTGTGTGTGTGTGTGTGTGTGTGTGCGTGTGTGTGCGTGCGTGCGCGTGTGTGTGTGCGCGCGTGTATGCGCGTGTGTGCGCGTGGGTGGGACGTATGACAATGGAGGATACGGTGGAGGAAGCTTTCAAAACACACTAAACAGCGGTGGCTACGGCAACAGTGGAAGTAACCATGGTAACAGTAGAAGTAACCATGACAATACTGGAAGTAACTATGGCAATACTGGAAGTAACTATGGCAACACTGGAAGTAACTATGGCAATACTGGAAGTAACTATGACAATACTGGAAGTAACTATGGCAATACTGGAAGTAACTATGGCAACACTGGAAGTAACCATGGCAACACTGGAAGTAACTATGGCAGCAGTGGAGATAATTACGNGAGAGAGAGAAAGAGAGAGAGAGAGAGAGAAAGCTCACACGACCTACGTGGAATTATTCAGGTCAGTGAAAACGCGAGTTCCCGGATGTTTGGCGTGTTGAGCTGAGACTCGGTTAAGCAATCGACACGGAATCATAAATGTGCTGATATAAGCGAGTCAGTAAACGGCGAAGACGGTGAAAGTTCTACTACGCTAATAATAATTATATCGGAGTGCAGCAGCCGTGTATGTGCCTATATGCGCGTGTATGCGCATGTACGCGCGTGCATGCGCGTGTATGCGCGTGTATGCGCGTGTATGCGCCTGTACGCGCGTGTATGCGTGTGTATGCGCGTGTATGCGTGTGTATGCGCGTGTATGCGCGTGTATGCGCCTGTACGCGCGTGTATGCGTGTGTATGCGTGTGTATGCGTGTGTATGTGCCTATATGCGCGTGTATGCGCCTGTACGCGCGTGTATGCGTGTGTATGTGCCTATATGCGCGTGTATGCGCGTGTATGCGCGTGTATGCGTGTGTATGCGTGTGTATGCGCGTGTATGCGCGTGTATGCGCGTGTATGCGTTTGTATGGGTGTGTATGCGCGTGTATGCGCGTGTATGCGCGTGTATGCGTGTGTATGTGCGAGTATGCGTGTGTATGCGCGTGTGTGCGCGTGTATGCGCGTGTATGCGCCTGTACGCGCGTGTATGCGTGTGTATGCGCGTGTATGCGTGTGTATGCGCATGTATGCGTGTGTATGCGCGTGTATGCGCATGTACGCGCGTGTATGCGTGAGTATATGTGCCTATATGCGCGTGTATGCGCGTGTATGCGCGTGTATGCTGTTATCGCTGCGTCGCATCTATACGATCTACACCATTCTATCCCGTCTATACAGCGCATATTAGAATCGAGATCGGAATTTCTCTCGAACCCCGCAGGGAGATTAGGGCCAGCACGCATTCTCGCTTCACTTTCTTTTTCCAATAACATGGCGGTGCACGCGCGCCCTAGGGAATCCGCCCAGCCGATGGAAATCTTCACAAAGCCATCTCTAGCCGTCATGGCATAGATACTAGATTATTGGGGCACGGGCACTATACACTCTACTCGAGAGTGAGAGGTTTGAGTGACCGCCGGTTCTTTGACGCCTGCGATCGCTGAAGTTCGTGATTTCCACACCCGAATAATTTTAGCAGACGAGAGAGTGAGAGAGAAATAGATAGAGAGAAAGAGAGAGTGAGAGAGAGAGAGAAAGAAAGAAAAGTGAGAGAGAAAGAAAGAGAGATGTTAGATGAGAGGAATATATTATATATAATATATATTATATATATAATATTATACTTATATATATGAGAGAGAGGAGAGAGAGACGAATAGAAGAGAGAGAGAGAGAGAGAAGAGAGAGGAGAGAGAGAGGAGAGAGAAGAGCATCTATATGTATATATTATATATATATATATAGATAGAGAGAGAGGAGAGAGCAGAGGGAGCATTATGTATATACATTATTATAATATATATATATATATATATATATATATATTATATATATATATATATGTGTGTGTGTGTGTATTATACGGCATAACGCAAAGTTCACACTTCTCGCGACAAACAAAGCCATAGACTAGTGTTACACACACGCACACACACCACACACACAGTCACACACACACACACACACACAACACACACACACACACACACACAACACACACACAGCACTGGGCTGTGCTAAAAACGGCGCTCGTCGCCTCATCTCACTGTTCTTCTGACCTCTGCGACGGGTCATTTCAGACAACACGAGCCTTATATATGCAAACTCCCGCACGCGCTGCGCGAGCGAGCGAGCGTATCGCCACTAGCTGCGCTTAATAGCGCGCTTTACGTTGTCTGTACTGTTGATACCTTCTCCGTGAATCTAGAGCCAGTTATATAAAGAGAGCACCGCTCCCCTCCGCATCACACTGTGAATTACTCAGCAGGGCCAACGGTAGGACCAGCATCTCCTGCTACACAGGTATATATATGTGTTAAACAGACACACACACACACCACACACACGACACACACACACACACATAACCACACACACACACACACACACACACGCCACGCGCGCGGCACGACGCACAGCACACACACAACCCACACGCACAAGCACCGCCACTAGCGCACACCACACAGGCGACACACACACATCACACACACACACACAGCACACGCACAACGCACACGCACACACGCACACGCACACGGCACCACGCACACGCACACGCCACACGCTACACGCACACGCACACGGCACACGCACACGCCACACCACACACGCACACCACACACACACACACTAACACGCCTACGCACACGCACACGCACACGCGCACACGCGCGCGCGCACACCGCACACACACCAGCACACACCACACACACACACACCACACACACACACACTGAACGACGCATAGGACTGCACACGCACACGCACACACCCGCACGCGCGCGCTACACATCACACCACACACACAACACACACACACACACAGCACACACACACACAGCACGTCGGTAGAGGTAGTAGTGTGTGTCGTACAACGGGTGTTACGGACGTGCGAAACGTGTTGTGGAATTGTACCAGATATTGTGAAAGTGGGCGCATTACAACAGGTGTATTGGAAGTGAAAAGAAGCAACAGGTATATTGGAAGTGGAACAAAAGCAACAGGTGTATTGCGGGATTTATAACAGGTATTGTGAACGTTCGCACCCTATTATGCGTAATTTTCAAGCGAAAACAAGTAATAGTTATATTAAAGCGAAAACAAGTAATAATTATATCAAAGCGAAAACAAATAATAGTTATATCAATGCGAAAACAATCACAGGTATATCGAAGCGTTGAAAACACGTACGTACAGGTACCTGAACAGGTAAAAGCCGAAAAAAGTGGTGATACGTAGATTATTGAATTTGTGAAGTGTGTAAACCTCATGGCACATAATATCGAATGCAAACATTGCGACACGTTTCCGGTAACATTGCGGCAGGTTCTGCACGAATTTAAACGAGAAAGAAGCGAGTTTTTTTGGAATCCTGTGTCGTTTACACTATGTTCATGTCATGCAAACACACCGTCACTGTGTCGCCCCATATATCCTTTAATCGAATCGGATGATATGAACGTAGCGAAGCGGTACAACCAGCGGTCTATTGAGCCAATTCTAGATCTGTTCGTGATGCGTGAATTTGTAATTACGTTTGTGTGATCACGATATACATGCTCTGTATTGTATCCTTTAGGTACCCACTGCCTCCTTCTTTCTTTTATTGCTTTCCAGCGTCTCTGTCTTTCTTTCCCCTTCTCTCTATAGCGCTCTCACTGCCGTTCCTTGTGTTTTTCTGTCTTTCGCTGTTTACCGCGCGTGCGCTTTCTCTTTGTCTGAAACTCTTTGTTCGTCACTCTCTCGTTCCCTCTTTTATTTAGCTTCTCTCTCTCGATCTATCTCGCTAGCTCTGTTTCTGTCTCTGTCTCTGTCTCCGTCTCCGTCTCCGTCTCTGTCTTGTCTCTGTTTGTCTCCGTCTCCGTCTCCGCTCTGTCTCTGTCTTTGTCCCTGTTTCTGTCTCTGTCTCTGTCTCTGTCCTTGTCTCTGTCATCTTGTCTTCTGTCTCTGTCTCTGTCTCTGCTCTCTGTCTCTGTCTCTAGTCCTCTGTCTCTGTCTCTGTCTCCGATCTCCGTCTCGTCTTCGTCTTCTGGTCTCTGTCTCTGTCTTCGTCTCTGTCTCTGTTTGACTCCTGTCTCTGTCGCCTGCGCTCTGTCTAAATTTTCTCTTCTTTTCTCACGCTTCATAATCTCGCTATCTCCTTTCTCTTCTCTCTCTCTCTACTCTCTCTCTTCTCTCTCTCTCATCTCTCTCGCGCGCTTTATTCTCTCTTCTATTCTCCTCGTTCTTTTCCCTATATAATATGATAATATATATATTACTATATCTATATATTATATATATATATATATATATTTATATAATGTGTCTCCGTCTTTCGCAATTTTGCGATTCCACTGTCTCGGCTTAATGTTTATTCTCTATCCATAGACCTCTATGTATTCGTTTGAATGATACGTATTCTGATTCTTTCTCCCTCAATCTCGTTCTGCTCTCACACACACACTAACTTGCTCGTCTACTTCTCTCTTCTTCTCTCTCCTCTCTCTCTCTCGTCTCCATCTCTTCTATGAACACTCTTACACGGTCGTGAACAACCCGCACAACCACCACACCATTTTGTCCCTCAATTCACTCTCTCTCTTCTCTTGCTCTCTCTCTCTCTCTCTCTCTTCTCGTTTTCCTACTCTCTTCTCTACCTCATCTCTCTCTCTCTCTCTCTCCCTCTCTCGTACTCGTCTCTCTCTCTCTCTCTTGCTCTCTCTCCTCTCAGTTCTTCTCTGCGTCATCTGTCCTCTCTACTCTCTGCTATCTCAGAGCTCCATGTCTCTCTCTCTCTCTCTTCTTCGCGCTCTCTCTCTCCTCTCTCTCTCTCTTCGTCTCTCTTCGTCTCTGAGCGTGGTCAGTCTGTCTCTCTCTCTTCCTCTCTCGTCTCCTCTCTCCTTTCTTTCTTTCTTTCTCCGTCCTTCTCCCCGCCACTCCTCCTCTCTCTCCTCATTTTTCGGTACTTCTGCTTGCCCCTCAGGCTTCTGGATTTCTTCCGCATTTCATAACGCCATGCTTGATGGCGCCGATGTCCTTCCGTGTCCGTACGCAAGATATGAACGATAATATATAAGACATATAATACGAACTATTGATACGCGATATAGCTATCAGCTATTAATCCGCATGTAATCCACACATTGTCGTTAATCAGGTTTTGTTGGCGGTCATGATGGAACGCGGAACCTTCGCCCTGACATTGGCCTCGATACTCGCAATCATAACCACGGTAAGGTGAATGCACATATCGCAGCAAAATACAATTGAAATCGTATCCTATTGACATCACTTGTTGCTACGCGCGCTCGCGCATGCGCAATGTATTTCATCTAGCGGGAATGATTATGGGCGCCATGTTGCAGCCGGACGGAGCGACGGTGTGACGTCACACTGATCCGCGCTTCTACAGTCAATCGCTGATAGATCACGCCACAATGAGTAGCTCGTGGATCAGTGACCAATAGAGACGGAACTAAACGATTTGAATAGATTTTAAACATGGCAGCCGCGCCATGGGGCCACTTGTTTTTATTGCGCGCGCAGACGATCGCCGCTTCTTGAATCGAGGACAATCGTAACTGCCGGCTAGCGCCCTAGAAATTACACGGCCGGGTATTATATAGACCATTAGTGCGTTGCCCCCGCTGTGGGTAACGCATAGCATTGACATACATGTACGATAAGGCTCTAATACTCTCTGTCCATAATGCGTGAAAAAGCAATATCTGTCGCGTGTGTTGACATGACCCGTGCCCACGCCCGCACAGGTATATATTATATGAAAATACATCACAGGATTATCGATAGCTTTGAAACGGCGCTGACACCGCTTGCCATTCGGTATAATAGATAATCTAGCGACATCTAGCGGCATTCCGGGGTATTACCACTGATTTCTATCATAAAACGCACATTTACAATACCCCAATAACCCACATTACGAAACTATTGTCAGGATTAAGTAATAAAACCGCTTTGATCTGATAATAGTGAAGACACGCTCGTGCGCGATGATTTCACCGGTTTCCGGTTCCGGGATTTCTTTTTTTAAATACAAGTGTTTTATTCTTATTTCGTTGCGTAGCTCGATGCCGAGGGATACGCATACGGCGGAGGAGGCTACGGAGGTCATTCAGGAGGAGGGTACGGCGGGGGAGGGCACGGTGGTCATTCAGGAGGGTACGGGGCCACGTCATACGGAGGCGGCTCCGGCCATCATGGCGGCGGCTACGGAGGACATGGAGGAGGTTATGGCATCTATTCTGGCTTCCTAGGTCTCGTCAAAGGAACGCACAAGTCGAAATGTAAGCGCGCTTATTTAGTAATTATTATGTATTATTATTATTATTATTATTGTTATTGGAGTAGTAGTAGTAGTAGTAGTAGTAGTAGTAGTAGTAGTAGTAGTAGTAGTAGTAGTAGTAGTAGTAGTAGTAGTAGTAGTAATAGTAGTAATAGTAGTAGTAGTACTATTAGTAGTAGCAGTAGTAGTAGTAGTTACT